CTTCTGCAGCAAAAAACCCACTCAAGTGTACTTCTGCAAGCTGCATACAATATCCATGACAGTATGGTCAGGTACCTAGAATCAGAGCGGTCAGATTTTGACAGAAAAGTACGGCCCATCATTCAGTCATTGGCGGCTAACATGAGTTGGAGCAACGGACACGACTTTGAATGATGATAGGTGGTTGGAGTTCTTGTTGGGTACTGCCCTATTCAATCTGCGACATGCCTTGAGCGCATCCGTTATCGCCAATCCTGCAAGGAAGTTACAAGATTGAAGGTTTGAGACTTTTCCAGTCTGGAGTAATTACGCCTACAAGGAATAGGATATCAACGCCTTGTCAAAGAAATCTGCTTTCGTGGGAAGGGTTCAAGCACACTTGGATGTACTAATGGTCATACCCTTCTGAGTGTGGAAAGCGCAGAGTACAATAGATGAGACATAGTCTTTACCTCGGCAAATTTCTACTTCGTGAGCCGCAAATTGGCTCAATTGAGTACCTCATCAAACACAATGTTTTGCCCTGATCCCGGGTCGACTTCATCTGGCACAAGTGAGCGACCAGCCGAAGTTTCATTCTTGCTATCAACGTTCAGGACTTAGATTGACCTTCCGAAGGACCGGCATTTCAAGACTGCCTGACTTCCAAAACACCTCTAGATCCCAGCTATTGGAGTGTTCAGGTCTTATTCAGAGTACCGGGATACGCTCGTCCCTTGGCTCGCATAGACAATCGCAGAAATGTTTGTTTGCCATAATGAGGCAATACTCCATGCCATAAAGATTGTTAGTATACTTGATGAGTATCTCTCCAGCCTCGTTGAAACCTCTTACTCAAGCTCATGACCCAATGGCGACCAGCCCAGGGTGGACTATCAAGATTCGTCGGAGTGCCAGAGGTGTTGTCGTCAGTCATCGAAATCTTCGTTACTGGCGCATCAGGGTCTCGATTGTGAGATGAGGCTCCCTCAAGCATAGCTTCAGGCGTGAGGTTCGAAATTGTGGCTACTTCACCATCAACATCTACCTGCTAATTTAGACAATCTGCGAGCAAATCTGGAGAACCACTCTGGGCCGAAGCATGGCTGAGTGCAGTGATTTCAATTTCCGCGCTCTCGTCGATGCTCGATTAGCAGTTCTGTGTTGTATTTTCTGTCCTGATCTTATCTCCATAGGCCCTGGACGCTTGGGAGTGCGGCCGGCGGCTTCTGCAAGTCCATTGAGTCTGCGCCCAACTGGTCTCACTTGCCGAATGGTGGCACCGGAACTGGATCGAGTCGTTATCGCCGCTCCGGTGTTTTCAAGCACAACTTCCGGTGTTGGAGTTAAGGTGACCACTCCGCGGTTACAATTCGACAAGCGTGCAACTGCCTCGTTTGGCGTGGTAGCAGGCACTCCATCGGTTCCTGGTGCTCTCTCAATAAGAGCAGGATACTTTTGGTGATGAGAGTAACGGGCTTGCTGTTGACCAACAGTTCAGAATGTAAAAGCGCACCATCGTGACTTGCGCGCGTATGGATCTCAAGCACACCCTACGTCTTGCCTGAATCTTGGTATACACGATCTTCGTCACGCCTGGAAATGTTAGAAGGGACATCCAATACCAAGGTAAGCCTTGCAATTGAGTTTAGTTTGACCTCTGATCTCTGATCTCATCGCCTAACGGGACCAAATGTTTCGCTGCGTGACTGCGAAACAAGCAGCTAGACGAAGACGTAGCGGCGTACGTCAAGGCCCACGGATAGGCTGGCTGTTCACGCTGATCCCCTTGAGGAAGATTCAGCTGTAATTTACACACATAACGTACTGTTGTCTCGTTGCCTACTCGGTCTCAAGCAGCACTTTGTGAGTCAACATCCTGCTTTCGTGTAGCGTTCGAACGGCCGTGACATTCGTTATCACATATTCGGCGATCTGTACCTTACCTGCAACTCATGTTGCGCTTTCAATGGAATCGATCAATATACAAAGCTACAGTTTTTTGGTTCCGTGCCAGAGATTGTCAAATTCTGATGTATGGTTAAAGTTTATATCACGATCATCATCGAATATTCGCAGCGATGTTGTGATGTCTTCTGATTCATTTCTGGCCTTGTCAAAGTATGGCATGAATTCTGCCATGACCCAGCCTATCCCGATACCGCTCGCCTACTTGACAAGATAGAGAAGAAGCATCATGACACCCTCCTCGAAGCAGGTACAGATCAGTGAGCAAGCGAGTTGAAAATGGACAATGATGTATCGAGAAAATTCACAAGTAAGGATGTATCCTGCTCTAGCAACGGCTGTTTCTCGGGCTAGCATATGTATTGAGCTCTACCTTGTACATCTGCCTGATCCTCCTGCATTAGGATTAATGTCAAAGTGCACGATGCTGGAAATTTTCTATAGCATGGAATGCGAACCCATATGATATCTCTTCGCGCCTCGTATCGGTACCGACCCTGAATAAGGGAAGCCTGCCGGTGGGTCTTATCAGCGACAGAAGCCTCCTTGCATCTAAGAAATGTTGTGATGGAAGCACCTTGGGTGGCGACGACGGTGCTAAAATCTCTTCAAAGGGCAGAATGGAACAACAAGGAAGTGTAGGCCTGTCGGCTGGGTATAGGCATTCCTGAAATAAGAACCAATGTACGAGCACTATGGTCGTCAACAATGGCTCCCATGTGACCAGATAGTAGGGACTTACAAGGTTGGTACTGGTCGGGTTGTGGAGGGCGTATGGCTGCATGAACGCGCTACGAAGAGAAAGGCTGTCATAAGAAACAGCCTCTTTAATGGCCCTGTCAAATGCTATGCTGATCGGTGGAAGAGACAGCGGAGTTGTGCGGGTGGAAAGGCGATAATGGATTTGTTTGCGCGCGAGCAGGTTCTCGAGATATGCAGCACCATCACTCCCTTATAGCACGACCTTTGAGACAAACAACACCATGAAGACACTCTTCAGAGATGTGTAAGCTGTCAGACTGCAGCAACGAACCTGAGTCCTGACGCACGCACGAGTACCAAGCTTGGTTGTGATTGTAGTCTGTCTGACGATATGTAGTCACAAGTCTGAAGAGAGCAATGGCACCCATTATGAGGCATTACCTCATTCCCCCTCTCATTCGTAAAACTCCTATTGAGCTCTAGTTGTACGTGTTATTATACGTTTCTCATCCACTCCCGTCGTTGTTGTTGTACTGATTTCATTCTTGTATTCGTGTGCGGCTCGAAACGTGAAACCATGTTTTGTGAGATGGTGGTTCAAGAGAGGGACAACTGCTTTGTTCTCCTAAGCGAAATTCTATTTGTACAAGAGTCACACGCAGGTGGTTTGTAGACGTAAGTAAATCTTAGAAAGATTACAACATGCCCTGCAAGACTGTCTGTAATGAGCTATACAAAGTTACATTCGCTTTTCTTACAAATTTTTAACACTAAATACGACCTGGCGTATCACGTAAGCTGGTGACGTGACTTCTATTTGTGACGAAGTCTACTAAACGCAAAGTGATTCATGGGCCAGCTATTCACTTATCCTCACGTCCACAAAGCATGCTTGCCGCGCTCGATAGTCTCTAGAGTACGGAAGATTTTTTGTAACCCATTTACTGTCGAATTGGTTTGGCACAGTTTACCATGTACCACCTATCACCATATCCAAGCCCTGGCGTATGGCTTCAGGATCCTAAACATTTACTGGAGAAAAAGCGGAGAGAACGAGCATACGCACGGGTACCAAAAGAGAAACAAGAGCCGGTGGGAAGATATGACAGCGCACCGCGGCTTGGCCCTCTCCTAGATCGATATAACTAGCTGGAGAAGCGTATCAGAGATCTAGAGAGAAAACACACCGCCCGTCCTAGGACAGTACGTCTATCGACACTCGCTTGGCGATCATACCAATCCGCTAGTGGAAATTAGGATTGGGTGGGCTAAAAATCCCTGGGTTTCGGCAGCAACGCTTACGCTCGGTTTTAGCACTCGATGAGCTTAGTGATATAATATCTGCTCAATCCCTGTTTCTAGCGTCGAGCGACTATGCTCGATCCCTCGAGAACAACAGTTGTTGTTCTCCATCCTTAATGCCTCTTCGAACCACTTCCAGTGCGGAACAGTCTGTTCATAAAAGAGTCGTACAAATCAATCGTGTGCATCGTTCATTGGGTAATCGTTTCGGGCGATTCCAATCCAAGTTTACTGTCACCAGAGCAGAGACTGACTTCGATGGTTGGCATGGATAAAGCTAGTCGAAATCTGCGTTCACCACACTCCAAGAAATGTTTGCACTTATCTCTACTGCTAAGCTACAAAAGCCAGATTGTCAAAAAGTGGAATTTAATGGCTATACTGTAGTACCTTTTCTCTTCCCTTTCTCTTTTTCCTTCTCTCTCTTTGTCTCTCTCTTGCTCTCGTGACACTGGGACGGGTAGCCGTCGCCATACACCTCCCTGGTCTACTTGCTAAGATGCTATGGTGCTATGTCTTCACTATTTTGATTGCTCCGCTTTCGCGTCCTTGCTTCATATCCATCATGTAGTATCCCAGAGCTTCAGTCGCGCAATTGCTGAAGACGATCGCTCTACGGAGCTTCAACTTTCTTTTGTCCTTCAGTGTAGGCTCTCTCTATAAAATATTCGTACCGGTAATCTGCCTACGTGGTCCTAGAGCTCGAAATATGTTTGGTCGTTCTTGGGCGAGTGATCAGAGACCAAAGCAAATACAACATTCGTGGTCTGGAAGCTACCATTATAGCTGTGCGAGACATATCGATGGAGAATTTAGACCTCGAGCTTGAGCTCATCAATTTCGTTTTCAACTGTGCGGCGTTTAGTTGATAAGATAATGCTTTTGATCTCCATTGCAGTGACTAAAGTCAGACGACCTCCTATTCAAACCACTTCATGTCCAAACTACTTCCTATGTGGAGTCTTGTTACTTTCTTCCACTTTCGTATTATGACTTGAGCGCCTTTGCATAATTGGCGCCTACTCATCGAATTCGCAGCAAGAACAAACATGTCGGTTGACTACCGTCCTTCGGTGTGGAGCAGCGCTAAGCAATTCCTGGCCGACTCTCTCGGGAAGGATGGTGAGGTGATGAGCATGTCGGGAACAATATCGTAGCGACTAATGTCTCTAGGTCCTAGAACGAAGGTTGTTGCAAAAGAGTCGTCGGCGGAGGAAGCAAAGTACCAGAAGAGAAGAAAACAAGTGAGAGAAGCTCAGAAGTATGACCAGGTCTCTCGGACGCGCGACAACTCTCTGACAACATTCCAGGAAGTACAGGAATAAACAGGGACACTACGTCCTGGCTCTCGAAGCACGCCTTGTCGAACTACAAGCAGACTTTGCAACCGCTAAGAAAAGAGCTGCGTGCATGGAGGCCGAAATTGAACGTCTGAGATCCTCACCATACGCAAATCCTTCCTGGTCAGCACTGCAGAAAGACTCAATAGCATGGACACAGGTCTCGAATACATCGTACGGTGCCCAAAGACTGAGTGTCGAACTTGACAACCTTGTACTGCCTGGGACATCGCGCCAAGATCTTCTATCGGAAGATCTCACCTCCCTCGCCAAGGGCTCTTCTGTCAACGAGCTCGAGCTTACTCAGCTAGGCATTAACTTTGTTTTGTTGTGTGCAAAACACTACTTCCGGATAAGAAAAGACCGCTAACTAGTGAGCGCAGCCTTGAACGACCGTGCCTTGGGCATATCACCTCGACCTCTTCCGAGTATCTCGAGCCCTGCAACCATGGTTTCCAGCTGCAGTACCATCTCCTTGCTCGAAGAGACAACAATGGCGCCCGGGATTCGGCTCTGCGTTGGCCCGTGCCGCAGACTGAACTAAGCAATCTGTTAGCCCTCAGTCCAGACTTGACGCCTTGGCAGGAAATTACTCCCATCCAGATGTGGCAGCAGATTAAGAGTCATCCTGGATTTGAAGCTTGTGCTGCAGCGAGTTTTCGTGAACTTGTATCGCAACTCTCGAAATCGACCCGATGTTATGGGTAAGAGGCTCACATGTTGTACTGCGATCATGGTGTACTAAACCAGATGTTTCTAGTTTCGGTGCCGTCGTCAGTCAAAGCGCTTTTGCGAAAGCTCTGACTAGTCACCTCGGATAGGTAAAGGCAGAAGGCGAGAAAAGGGTGGGTTGAATGCAGCGGGAAAGGCCTTTCATACGTATCTGAGTGCTGAAAGATCACAAAAGTAAGCAAGGGTCAATGCCTGAAATCACGCAGAATTCTGGGCGTGTCAATTGATGCGGTAGTTGGGTTGATGTGGATTGCTTCAGGAGTTGTTGCGCGCGCTGCGACAAGCGGCTAGCGACGCTTAGGCGTTAGTTGCGGAGTGCAACGAATTACATGGCTCTGATTGGCCAGATCTTATCTCCTGGATAAGATTTGGTGCTCCGAAACGCCAGATAACTACGTGTCACGTTCGTGCCAAATTTGCGCGTTACCCCCACCGAAGCTCCGCACGCAGTCGAGCGAGCGACTCGCTCGACCCAGAGTCAATTTTTGAAGCTCAAGTTGCTGACAGGTTCACCCTGGCTCGATTTACTACACCACGACGACGAGGTCGAATTGGATGGACTTTAGCAATTGAGACACCTTGTGAAACACAGGAACGTGTAAACTAGCCATTTCAATTCGACTTCGAAGCAATAGTTGGCATATTTGAGCTAGGAATGTCAATTTCGAAGATTCATTTCAAAACTGATTTCATCTCCGAGCCGACACCTAGATACATTCGCACGCGCTTCGAAGTCAATCAAAGCCTATAACACTCTGAGGGACATGTCTTGTGCATCGACTCGAATTTCCAGGCAACTAAGCGACTTCAGAGTTACGGCCCTGGTCTCTGGTTTTATGCCATCACGTTTACTGGGATGAACCAACGCACTCTACCTTTCTGGAATCGGACACGGCGCAGGCCCCCTCCCCTCTTAGGCCGTGCTCCTTCTTGCGTATTGCTCAGGACCTCGGCCGGACTACAAAGGACACAGCAGATATCCCATAGACTGCACGTTGACATCAAGAGCTCTGTACTCTCTACAAACCATGGGGGGGATTTCGGCTGCAAGCCCTCGAAAAAAATCCTTTTGTTGAAGTGTCCGATGCTGCTTGAGCTCCTTGGGATCAGAAAATCGGACAGAAGGTTGTACAGTGGAGATTTGACGTGTGGTTGTTTGAGCAGCTTTAGACAATCTCTCAACGGTCATCAAGCTGCTGGAGAAAGAATAGTTACTCGATTCATTGCTTCCGCAGATCATCATGATACAGTAGCAGAAGTACGGCCTTAGGGCATCTAAAGCTACATAGTGTTACTGCTTTTAAGCATGAGCAAACAACACCTGACAGATGGCGTTAAGGTGAATCTTAGTTCTCACATCCACCACTTCTCGTATACTGCTAGACCTTGCGCGTTCGCATCCGCGCCAGGAATCGCGATATTCTGGATTTGCATAGCACTCTTCGGGCCACCACTGACATCAATCGTACAGATGCTGGCTGGAGTGGTACCGTTGCCCGCAGCGAGGAACCACATCTTGCTGCCTGAAGCTCGGAAGTCGGTCATGGCAGGGTTGTCGTTAGGAGGTGAGTACTCACTAACAATCTCGCCAGTGGTGAGGTTGGTCTCTACTAGGCGGTTCAGGGCAGCATCCGTGATGAAGGCAGTGCCCGTGAAGGACGAGACCTGAGCCCAGCACGATGCTTTCTGGTCGGTGACATTGGTCTTGGCCTTTGGCTCGGCAGTCAAATCGTTCAGATCCAAGACCACAGCACCGAAGTTGGCTTGACTGGAGACCACATAGTCGCCGCTCCAAGGGATTACGGCTGATCCAAATTCGGCACCCAAGCCAGGCGGTTTGTACTGTTGGCCTTGCTGGGAGACACTTCCGTTCTGGAGAACTGTATACTTCTCCACGAATCCAGGAATGTCTCTACCGTTACCCTTTGCGAACACGATGACCTCGGATTCATCCGCATTGAAGATGATGTCTCCAACTCCGGGGGTGGGACCGGTCGGTGGGTTTTGTGTTTGGCCGACATTGAATCGGCGCAGCGCATCAAATTCGTTCATTCCACAAGTCGGATCCAATGAGGCACAGCTGACACCGGCGTTGATGCCAGTATTGGCAACGCAAACAATCTTGTGCTTCATCGAGACAGCCACCGACACAGGGAAGTCGCCCACGGAGCTCCGAGAAGCAAGCAGCATTGGCTTCAAAGGATTCCAGGGATCGATGGCGAACATGGAGACCGAGTTCGAGCCCGCGTTTACATTGAATAGAAACTGAGGAGCATTAGCAACAAAGATCTTGAAAGACGGCCCTAGCACGTACGTCTCCTGCAACGACGACTGAGTCTTGGCTGGAAAGAGCATCAGGCCGATCAGGCTCGCCAGTCATCGGGTTGATCAGGTTTCCTCCGTTACCACCAGTGGCAGTAAGTATGCTCTCAGCGTAGAGACTACCATCGGCGGAAGCTGCCATGGCGACAATCGAATTCGGGACAGTGTTTGTCATGGTATAGACCACCTTCCGGCTTGCAAAGCTGGAATCGCAGACCACTTCGGGTACCAGCCAAGGCAAAGTGTCCCTTACGAGGGCAGCGCGAGGCAGCACTCTTGCCTGGGACGTGACCACCGTAGCGGACAGAGCCATGAGACTGCTTGCGACGTGATGCATAGTGTAAGGAATATCCGGATTGTGATGAGCTGCGCCTAGACAATTGGTCGGGTAAAGCGAAGACGGTCGATTTGATTGGGGGGAGTTTTTTTTTAAAAAAAAAAGAAAAAAAAAAAGAGCATTTGTGATGAAGCTCCAAACATAGTCTCATATAGTCCAAGGCCAATTCACAGGCCATGGTACTGTCAGCCGTGTAGCATGTCATGAAGGGGTCCGAAGGTTGATTTGATTCCGTAAACATGACAGTTTGTCGCAACGCGTACGATTCCAAGATTGCGGCATGTATGTGGCATTCGACATTCGCAGTGTATCCATGATCGAGCGGTGTTGACAGATTCAAGTTCAGCGCTTGTGCGAACTGAATTCGGCTAGGACTGTTGAGATGATGATGGAATCATGGACCTACCGGTGATAGTTGTGGGATTCTGGCACGGATGCTTTTGGATCACGTAATCGAGTCGGAGTGTTTTTCGACTGTGGTTGCCGGGCACAATCAGCATGCTCCCTCACGCCGTGGAATGAAGATGGAAGAGAGCCCGATCGGCAAAGACGACCTTGATCACATAAGCTCGTGGTCGCCAGGTGCAAGCCTAGAATCCCAAAGACAACGGTAGAAAGGTGGGCTGAACAATGTCAACGCTTCCAAAGCAATACTTACAGAAGAGCCGCAGACCCTGGTTTTCGTGCTATCAAGATCAATCATGGGGCCAAAACTACGACCGAAACTCCCCTTTCACTGTCGAAGGCTTGGTAGTCGTCATAACAGGCGTTGGTAGCGGCCTTGGGTCCCAAGTAGCTCTCGCTCTTGATGTAAACCAATTCTGTCAATTTCTTCGAAGCCGATGCTACCACGTAATCACAGACAAATGGTGCGAAAGCGGTCTACATCTTCGGTCGCCGTCAGGAAGCATTGGACCGCACGATCGCTGCCTCGAAAAATAACAGCATCGAAGGCATCATCTGCGACGTCACTTTCAAAGACTCTCTCGGCGCTGCAGCCTCTCGAGAGCGTTCCGAACAAGGATATATCAATGTTCTCTACACCAACTCTGGCGTAATGGGACCTAGCACCTCTATTTCCAGCTCAGATAAAGACTTCAAGTACAAGCCTTTTAGGATGTGTCTGGGTTGGTGCAAGTCACGACGGTTGCATGCCGGAAATTGATCATGGGGATGACTGTGGTTGATGTAGAGCAGCCGGATCAGCCAGATCAGACATTCCGACTTGCCCTGCCCTACACCAGCCGGTATTCAGACTGTAGATGAAGCATGCACAGCACTTACCTGCGTAGTCACTCGTATTGGTGCAAACATGATTCCACAATCACAGGGGATAGTAAACAAAGGTATGGCAGCACCATCAAAGCCTCATTATGGATATTGCTTGACTGACAGGGCCATCGCCAGTCTCACGATGCTGAACCCCGATTGATTCGAGTTCGTACGCCACTACTCACACCAGGGATACAAGCAACAAGTAGATGAGCGGCTCTCCCACCTGATCGCATCCTGTATAGTAGGCTAAAGAGAGTGAAAGAGAACGATTTCTAGAATGTGCTACAAGTTGTCAAATATGTACAAGATGAAACACGCTTGTGACAAGCGATTGTCTGAAATCCACTGTAGTGCGACTGATATCGTTCAGATGTACCATTGACAGATCATGATGTGAGACTCCGAGAAGGTGCAGTGATCTAGATAGTGACCGTCTCTAGATCAGCATGCATCTGCTCGAGAATGCTGTTCTGCCTGGGTTTGAAGCCCATAGCAGCAGCGCGGTCGCCCTTCATTAGCATGTTCGCAGCAACAAGATGCTTGACTTCTCCATCGCCTGCTTCATCAATGGACACATTTTTCGGCTCAGAGCTCGAAAAGATTCCTCTTGCGTGCATCACCTTTGCAAGTTCGGTTGCCATATCTTTCCACTGAACTCTGCTGGTCTCGACCATGTAGTAGCGACTGTAGGACGTGCCCTGAGCAGGACCTCTAGCGGCAACCTCAGAGATTCTGACGAGAAAATCAATTAAGTCAAGGAGATGGGTCTAGAAAGAATTTGAGCAAATGTTCAAGTGGACAGACTATATTCACGAGGATGACTTACGGTACTCAGTACGGCAGTTCCATCACCAACGTAAGGAACGTAGCCCAGGGGCTTCGCGTTGCCAGTCACAAGAGCATAACCAATGCCCATGGTAGGCGAAGATATGCTAGCGCCTCCGTATACAATTGCAGGGCAGACAATGTAAGTATCCAAAGCGTTGTCAGCGCCAGCCTCGAGCACAAGGGTGTCAGACTGCCCATTGAACATATCCTTGTGGATAGCCTTGATGTCTTCCTCCTTGGAATCGTTCCAGACCTTGCTCTTGGGGTTGAAGTTGCCAGAGGTAGCAAAATCGATAAAATTGCCGCCGCCGCTGATATGAATCAGTTTACCCTTAGCGTCGCAGTTCTTGACTTTCTGTCCAGCGATGATAGCCGCAACCAGATCACCAGTGAAAGAGCTGCCAGCGTTCACGGCTATGTCGTGTTCCGTGCTAAGAGCGGCGACTTTTGCAAAATCACTGAAGTCCCCAACGACGATGCGGTCGGCCTTGAGGTTCGCTGTGAGCTCGCTTTCGGGCTTTGTGCTGCGAACATATGCAGTCACTTGCCAGTCTGGGTGCGCTTGCTTGATGGCCCTGGTGTATGGGGCTTCGGCATACGGTCAGTCTGCTGTTTAGACATATGCGAAAGTGTGAGATTTCATGTGCATACCACCAACAAAGCCGGAGGCGCCGAAGACTACCACCGAGGGCATGCCGAGAGTCTTAGTCGATCGAGAGGCCTGGAAGAGAGCTGATGGTCCCTACAGATAGAGGATTGAGCGGACAGGTACGATATACAGGAGTTCGCACGAAAATGTTTCTACCGGCCGAAGGAATATGGGCTCAGACAACCAAGATGGCTATTGAGCGACAGCTCGCTGTGCTTTTGGGCTTTTGAGATCAAAGGCACACTACGGCTACTGCGTCTGCTTCCTACGTACCATACGATCGACGGTTCAAGGGGATTACAATCATTTCTAAGCAAGATGCGGTAAGCAAGATGCGGTAAGCAGACATTTCTAAGCAGAAAGCACGACGTCGTAAGAGATCCCGCACTACCACATTGCTCACAAACTATGGTGTGCTGCCTTCTGTTGTCCGTGCGCAGAGATATGCGCATTCCAATCGAATCGTGCCGAGAATTTCACCGTTGTGTGCGTCGGCTCTATCACGCTAGGTCCAGGCGAGCTGGGATTAATGGCTTGCTCTGCTTGCTTGAGCCGCATGGGTGCCTGCTAGGATTGCATGTCGTGTTGCAGGTCATCATCACTACTTGTGATCTGCTTGAAAGGCAAGATACTGTCACATGATGACAAATCATGGGTGTGCTCAAGAGATCATGCTCAGAAAACCACGGACTCAAGAAACGTACTTGCTCGCGAGCCATTGTGTATATATAAGGCTGCCAGCCCTGACGTTGGGAGTGTCACTTCCTAAACCTCGACGTATCATCTGCACTTCTCGCAACGGAGGCTGTCCCGTTCCCTTCTGCACATACTTCTGTCCTGCTTCCTAAACATGCCGAGAGAAGGACCACTGAGCGGCAAAACCGCAAGTGAGTTGGATGAAGGTGTATCTATCTCCATCAACTACTGAGGCCGTTTCAGTCGTCACCGGATCTTCCAAGGTCGATGGTATTGGGGCCGCAACCGCCATCGCTCTGGCCCACGAAGGAGCAAACGTGCGCCTTATTCAATGACTCTCTGAGGTCTATAACTGATCACAGCTCAGATTGTAATCCATTACAGTGCATCTGCGGAAGGCGCGAAGAGCGTTGTCGAAAGCGTGCAAGCTATTGGCGTCGGTGCAGTTGCTGTGCAGGCTGATGCTAGTAGCCCAGACTTCGGCGAAAGGCTTGTTCAGGGCACTTTAGATTTCTTCGGGACCTCCACGATCGATATCATTGTCAACAACGCTGGTACAGCTGCTGTTCATCCGACTATCGCCGATGTCCCTGTCGAAGCGTGGGATGATGTCTTCCACACTAACGTTCGAGCCCCTTTTCTCCTGATCCAGGCTGCTCTTCCATACGTTCCTTCTGGCGGTCGAATCATCAACATCAGCAGTGTTGTTGCTAAGATGGGTAACAAAATGCTTACTGTCTACGGTGCCTCCAAAGCAGCTTTGACTTCGGCAGCGGTCGCTATGGCCGAAGAGCTTGGTCCCAAGGGCATTACGATTAATGTTGTGGCGCCAGGGCCGATCACAACGAGCATGTCCATGAAAGGTTCCCCAATCTTTTCCAAGCTTCAAAACAACGCTCATATCAAGAGAGAGGGTCGTCCAGAGGAGGTTGCAAATGCTGTTGTTTGGCTAGCTAGTCCCAATGCCGGTTACGTTACCGGACAGCTGATTCCAGTCGATGGAGGCATTACCTGGCCTTAGCTACGTCACGTAATGAATCTGGAGTTGGATTTTCGCTGTCGAAGTATGTATGTAGCTAGCTGGACGGCTGCCTGACCAGGTAGGCCTGTGTAAATACACCGAGTCTGTCTCTGAGGATCGCGGCGATCCCTCGAGACACGAAAACCAGCCTCCGTAACATAACGTGGTCACTCTAAGTACGGACTAGCAGCTTCTGCGGCTGGGGTTGCCGCGCGCTAAATACGAGTAATGCGGGCACGAAGATATGAAGACATGACAGGGGCGATCAGCGTGGCGTGAGGATTGCTCAGACCCTGCGGAGTGCGTGGGTGACTTTGAACATGCGGCTCCCATCCCTTTTCGGCACGTGGGCCAAATAGTGTGATTCGATAGCTTTCAGCCTCATGGCATACCACTCGTCAAGCCTCTGTATGGAGGAACAGTGCGACACACACCTTGTAGATGACAAAGAGGGCAAACATAGAGACTCTTCGTTCACCAGCCGCCCATGCGCTTTGCTTGGAAAAGCAATGATGATATTTGTCCGAGTGTGGATGCCCTGGTTCTACTTATCGCACAAGACTCTGATGGTCAAGGCTTCCTCCGGTGGCTCGTCTGGATCTTCGTGAACGATGCATCTCTAGATACACAAATCTCGTGTTCCCCGGGTATGTGTGAGATGTGAGATGACCAGGCTCTCACGGCTTGTTCCCACGGCTGCTGGGCAGGTTCTTCGAACTGGGCCTCTCGACTCGTCTCCCAATCTGCCTCCTGACCCGCAGGACTTTCAATCACGAACCGAAAACTGACTTTCATCGAGCTCGGCTTGTTCTTGAGGCTCGACACGAGTGTATTCTTGCTGCCTCGTTCCTGAGTTTGGCACAAGGCGTCGCACATGTGGGTGATCGGATCCTCGGCGGTCCCTATGGCCGCTGGTGATGCGGTCCTTGTGCTTCCTGCCTCAGCCAATAGAAGTTGCTGAGGGCTGCCAGACGAGTCTGTCGAAGCACTCATAGGTGGAGCTTGGTCCACTACTTGACCGTACATTCCCGGCATCTGGTAAGACGTGGGGTCGGTGGTAAGCCCTGTGTCGAGATCTACGCCATAAGCCGGAGGCCATGCCGCACCTTGGGCGCCTCCCTGGCTAGAGTGGAAGAGCGACTGCCACGTATGATGGTACGGAGACTGATACGAATACTGGTTGATCGGGAGATTCTGGAAGTTTGACTGTGGATACAAGTTGGGAGCGCAGGAATATGAATCGAGCATAGAGTCAGGAATCGGTAGCGAGTATTGCGGGTAGAAGGACTGAGGGTTGCTCCACAATATCATCTGAGGAAGACTGTCGGGGTGTCTTTGGTCGTAAGTGTAAACGTCCGAAAAGTTGACTATTTCGTTGGTCAGCGAGCTGCGTAGTCCTAGAAGTGGCGGTCGAGGCAAGGTATGGAAGTCTCATACTAGTACTAGTCATTGTTGCGTATCTGGATCGAAGCCCACAGTGGCACTACAAGGTTGTGATGCCAGCGGGCACAGCCTCAAGTGTCCTTCCAGCTCTATATACCCAACACACTCGAGACACCCAGCCCACCTCTCGCGTCCCGTGGCGCAGACACATGGGCAAGCAGATAGAGCATTGCACATAAGCCAACGGCACGAGAATCCGTTGCGGTCTCATCAAGTGCAACCCCCCATTGGCACATTGCCTCCATGCCGCGCGAATTGAGGAGATGCAGGTTTCGATGCCTGGTCCGCAATATACCAACACTACACACAGACCTTGATAAGGCGTGGATGTGCACTCGACTACCAATCGATAGCATCGGAGCCCAGCACAGTCCCGGCGTTGTGGTCGAAGCCCACGAGTTAGTGGATGCCAAGATAATAGCGCGTCTTCATCATTCAGCGTCCAGAAGGGTCACGAACGAATGGTTCCCGACAAGGCATGGTCGATCAGCACAGCGAGTCATCCCGAGCCGAGGCCCTTGTATCAGACGGGGCAAAATCAAGCATGATCACTGTCGCCAGTGACTGAGAGTGTGGCGAATAAGACCAACTCTCAGAGATCACGAGGAGTACTGATCAAGAGATAGGAAAAGGAAAACGACAAGGCGTCGAACCTGAACGGAAGGGAGGGCTAAGACTGCGAAAGAGCAGCTACGTTGATGGTGTTCCGATCGGCCATCAGAAGTCTCAATCTGACGCTCTCCAGCCCCGGGGTTCGACTCATTACAGAGGCATGCATGGCCCTGTTCCTGGAAATTTGTCCCTCCGCTGGCCGTCATGTCAACTGTCGTTTCGATTTGTGGCATCGGTCGTACCGGACAAAGAAAGAGCTGTGACCAACTCTAACTGGATCGAACGCCCGACACGGAGTGGCAAGACCGCCAAGAGAGGCCTTGAGATCATCATATTCTTGGTTGACAGAGGCACAGAACAATAAGTCCTACCAGTGTACGGAGATGAGTATGTGCTATAGCCATTGCGCTCGGACCGGCTGAGAGAAGTGAGATCGGCGGGTGCAACTTGGTCCGAAAGCACGCAAGACAGGTTGCAGTGCCAAACAAGAAACGCAAGCTCACTGTCCACGACTCGGCGCCGGTCGTTGGTCGAGAATCGAGATGAAGCGTGAGCCATCCATCTATTCATCCATTCATCCTGCGGGGGGCGTTGCTCTCTCTTGCCCGCTAGTTGTGCGCTCGGATCATTGCCGGGCTCTGTGCCTTTCTGGTTGCCTCGAGAAGAGTAGACCGCTACGACGGTCGCTTCTCAATGAGCTTGCGATGGCCAAAATCGGCAGCGGAGTCGGTTTCAACTAGCCCACTAGCTGCCGTCTCCATAGTCGTAGCGTCCACGTGCCCAGTCGTCCGTGCGGCTTTCCCGTCCTTGCCGCTACGAGGCGGGCGTCAAACACCTGAGGGCCCTGGATCAGAGGCGCCGCCCGGCGAGTGGACGAACGCAACGCAACCTAAGGCCGAGAGCGCGAGATTGACACGTACGCAATTACAATCCTTCCTCTCCCACCAGCCTCCATCTCAATCCACAGGTGCCCTAATCTACCAAGCTCTATCTCATCAACCACCGACCGCTAATCTATGTGAGCCAGCCGTCGAGGCCGGATCGTGCATTGCAGGCACGATTGTGTGCAGTGGCAGTGCGGCGCGAACACGTGGTGTAGACGAGCAATCAACCCCGTGCAGCAATGAGAGCCGATCTGCATCCGGCGAACAGGCACAATTGTCCTTTTCAGATACATCGACATATCATTGCACAGTGTTGCCCGCACGAGCCTACCGAACAGTATGAGTGATGGCTTGTCTGTACAAGAGGTAATAAATTATCGATGCAAGAGTCGGGAATAAAATACGTGAGGCTAGCTGGCTAGGCTGACCTGTAAGTGACGGTACCAAGGAACGTGGATGTCTCCTGCATGTTCAGGCACGGCGTCATTATTGTTGCATTGATTGATTGTTCTTCTGAAAACCTGGAACAGCTCACGAGCGACTTGGGCTCTTCTTGCTTTTATTGAGTATTTACCAATCTGCCGGTATATTCATCAATCTCCTCAGACAGATGAGTAAATGCAAGGCCACCCGCCCGAGAGACTCCACTCACGGTGGGAAGTGCAGGAGCCGTGGGTAGTGATTTCCACCGAACTGTAGCATGCTTTCGCAAGAACGAAAAGCGGGCCCCTGCACGTTCACGAGCTCCTGCATGCACAATATGGACGCACTTTGACCGATCTCGACGGCATGGTTTGGCAGGCTGCTACAATACTTGTCCATGTGGACGTGATCGACAAGGGAAATCTAATTTCCTGGTCATGGTCCGCAGTGTTAACATCTACCAGTCACTGAAGCGGCCATTACTTACTGTAGCATGGCCTCACTGCAATTGGCAAACGCACTTGAATTCTGACTACCGGCGCACGGCACGATTATATACACAGGCCGCCAAGAGCTTTTGCTCCGGTGGCGCAACAACAGATTGACAGCCTGACAGCCTGTGACAGGACCCGTCGGCTTGGTGGACGGTATAACCCTGCCTGTATCTGTCCTCACATGTTCTGCTGCGTGTACTCCGCGATCTGAGACAGACTTGACAGTGAGAGCTTTGGATGCTGCAAGAGACCGGCAACACGAAGAGAACTTGTAATAGGACTATATAGACGGACGTCTCAAACCCTCGTCTTTGGAGACAAGATGGGACCATAACAAAGATTGCAAGTGTGCTTTCTCAAGGTAGAAACGCGTGGTGGTTGTTTCTAGGGCTGCTCCCCGGATCTGGCCAGCCGAGCTGCGGAAAGCGTTGAGGTCGCCCAGTTTGCAGCTCAAGAAAGGTACGGACGCTATCGTGAGTGACGGTCGACGTGTGGAGTTGTCAGACTTGCGACCAAGCTTCGCGGCGTCGACACATCCCCACACCTTGCATTTGCGTTTCGATGATGGAAGGAGCGACCGTGCCGCGTCGTATGACTAGCTATTTCATCAACATCGGTTGACGTCTCATCAACATCAACACAATCACTAGAGAGAGAGAAAGAGAGAAACATTGGCACTGCACGGGCGCAACATGGGGTGACGTGTGGATTGCTGCTCCGGTACCTGCCCTATCGTCTTCCTCTCATGTCAGGCCTGCGCCGATCTTGGAATTCGCTGTTCCGGCGTCCTTGGGCACCATCAACCTTTCCCAACGAGGGCTTTGTCTCCATTTCCGCAGACGCCAAGATTGAAGAGGAAACAAGCGCTCCACGACTGCTTTGACTGGTCCGTCGCCCGGAGCCAGTTTTGTATCATTGACTACAGAAAATCGAACAATCGTTGCTGACGATGTCATTAACACGCCTGCACCAGTATATGTCCCTCACGAGTAGTTTGTGCCTCGCAATGTCACTCCGACCGACCAGCCTTGGACGCACTTGCCGCCAAAGTCTCAAGTGTCCGGAGCTTACGACACGCCACTTGCGGAAGACTCTGCTACTATAAACTCCCGGTCATTGGCTCTCCAGTCACACACACGGCTGTCACATACTGTAGCATGGACGGATCTGCAACGCGATGATCAGTTACCAAAATAAAATACTCTGATTTGCAGATGGTAAATACTAAACTGAAAATTGTCGAATTTGATTTAACCCCGAGGCCTGGTCGCCTGGGTGACCCTGCCCGCAACTACCGTCATATGTTCTGCCAGGGATCTGATCCTCAAATCACATTCGTCGCGCATACGCTTGTTTTCCATTGCGAACAGAGTACCGTACGATCTGGAGAAGGTATGTGTCGGGACTACCGCCTCCTGGTATGCGTGATGTGACAACAACGTAGCTATCAGATTTGCAGCCCATCAGGAACGACCCTAAGTCATTCGAAAACGTGCCAAACGCCTTGTTAGCTTCTTGAGCGAATTCAACAGCAACCACATCAAGTAAGTCTTGGCATTTCACAGAAGCTGGAGAGGTCAATGGGAATGACGAGGCACAGGGCAGAAACGACGATGGGAATCTACCGCGGCTAGATCGATCGTGTATAAGGTGTTCTGACGCCAAGATACCTATTGAGCGCCCCACATCGTTCCTCCAGACGCAAGCGGGGCAAGACTGCACTCGTCGACTGACGCAATGATGTCAACCCATCAATCTGTGTCTGTCTCGCTCCGGTCTGTCAATTGCAAACATCGAGTCTGTGCAAACTACTCGATGGATTTCGAAGCCCAGCCGTATCATCTGGCTTTCCGCGCTCATCACGGTCACGTAGTCACCTGCTTGCTACTAGACTCAGAGAGGATTCTGACCGGAAGCGATGACGCGAACATCCATCTGTACGACGCCCATACTGGCGCTTTACAACGGAAATTCGAAGGACATGAAGGGGCCGTGTGGGCAATACAACACGAGGCAGACATACTGGTATCCGGTTCGACAGATCAAACCATCCGTGTTTGGGACATCACCTCTGGTAAATGCCTGCATGTTTTCCAGGGTCACACATCTACCGTTCGCTGCCTCGCTATTTTGCAGCCCGTGAAGATGAGCACGACTTCCGATGGCTCGACCATTTTGATGCCGAAACAGCCCTTAATCATCAGCGGCTCACGAGACTCTACCATGAGAGTTTGGAAGCTTCCCTATCCTGGTGATCGTCAGACTTATCACGCCAGTCCTCCGGATGGCCATAGCGATGACGTCCACTCGCTGCGCATCCTCGCTGGTCACCAGAAAACGATACGCGCAATGGCAGCTTACGGCGACACTGTTGTCAGTGGTTCGTTCGACTGTACCGTCCGGGTGTGGAAGATCTCGACGGGTGAAATGGTGCATTGTCTCGCGGGACATTTGCAGAAGGTATTTAGTGTGGTTCTCGACCACGTGAGCAGTCGCTGCGTGTCCGGGTCAATGGACAATTCTGTCAAGATATGGTCCATTGAGACGGGAAACTGCTTGTTCAGCCTCGATGGCCATACGTCATTGGTAGGTCTTTTAGAGCTCAGCCAGGGCGTTTTGGTCAGTGGCGCTGCTGACGGCACTCTCCGCACGTGGGACCTTGACGACGGAGGCTGCAGGGCCATCCTAAAAGGACATACTGGCGCCATAACTTGCTTCCAGCACGATCTTCAGAAAGTTGTGAGTGGCTCTGATCGCACTCTTAAGTTGTGGGATACACAGACGGGGGAGTGTTTGCGCGACCTGCTCTCAGAATTGAGCGGTGTATGGCAAGTCCGCTTCGACGAGAGAAGGTGTGTCGCAGCGGTACAAAGAAACAACCTTACTTACATCGAGGTACGTGCAAGCGATTGTGACCATGTTCGACCAAAGCTGATTGATTGCAGGTGTTGGACTTTGGAGCAGCTCGAGATGGGATACCAGAGAGCAAAAGAGGACATCGAATCGTGGTCGACCTACGCGGACGTGAGGTTGAGAAGGTCGAGGCAGGAACAGAGACGTAACCAGCAACTACGAATCTGATGTAGCGGACACGGCGAAGAAGATCGGTCCTTCTCTAGATTGACGATGCGATGAGGACGCGCAAGAGGGACAGGCTACAGGTAGGACGGGCCCCTCAAAACTTGTCTGGAACAAGATGCAACCATGAGATGTAGTGAAAAACTGTGCTGTGTTGATAGATGAATGCGTGGTGGCTGCCCCAAAGCCCAACGTCCTGATTGAGCTGTTATCTGACTGCGGTTGATGGACCCCGCGGCCGAGCCATCGAAAGTGCTGATGGCTGGTGTTGAGCACTCTTCTGTAGAACTGTCGATGGGAATTGTTATCGCAGCAATCCGCAGTGGTATCCACACCTTGCTCCATGATTGATATGCAATCAATTGTCTGTCTCGTTTGCTCTGCAACCGGGTGCCAAGCGCTTCGGCAGGCACCGACAAACGCCGGCGGTCACAGCCTCCGCGCTGCTTCTGTTCGAGCTTCGTCCCGCATGCCCCTCCTCTCTATTCGCTCATCCCCCACGACATCCTTACCGCAGCCCTCGACATAATCACATCTTCGTTTCAGATGCTTTCTGGGCACATCGGGACTCGCTCCTGCCTTGTCTCCTCCATCATTTCTGGAGTTGGTAGCGACCATTCCCCCAGCTGACCTCGATCTCGTTCCGCTGTTCTGTACGTTCACCGCTTCCAAGTCTCGCACCTCCGGCGGGCCACCCTCTCGCACTCGTGTCATGGCCGACTCTGGAAAGTGCCGTCGAGGTAAGACCAGCTAGCATCGGCCGTCTGCTGAATGGCTGCGAGCACCGAAGCGGCTGATACGCACGTCCGAGACAACAGCGACCAAGTACATCTGGATGTTTCCACGACTACAGATGGTCTGCGCCGATAGTCATCAACCCGGCAATCTACCACATTGGCAGAGTGATACAGCCGGCTGTCGCTCTGTTCCTGTGAGCCCCTACCTGACAGCACGAGATCATTATTTTTTCCTCTATTCAAGCATCCAAAACCGCTCGGCACGACCCAAGGCTACGGTCACATGGCAAACGTCCCCGCCGGGACGCAGATGTGGATTTAATTCGGCTTGGATCGAGTACAGAAGTGCTAGCTATCTGTGTCCCTGTAAGCCGCTCTGTCCTCCAAGTTGCAACACTAGCGAGCGGCCAAAGCGCGCCCAGACGGTCGGCCCCGACCTTGAATGTCTGGCGTATAAAAAAGAAAAGAGAAAGAACAGCGCTACGTTCCCATGCTATGACCTCGTCTTAGTTGCAGTGTTTTGCGTACTCGTGTGCCGCAGATCACACGCCCGCTCGCACGCCTCCTGGAATGTCTTGTAGTGACTGATCAGACAGCCGCCTGTACTTTTGCCTTGCTGACCACTGTCCACTCTGCCTGAGCGCTGGTTAGTGAGACTTTTGTTTTTGGCATCAACGCCGGACTTACGTTCTCGCCATCCTCTGGGATGTCTCTCTTGACCAGGGCAGGGAACCAGATCGTCTCGAGCACAAGGTCGTCGTCTTCGTCAGCATCGCCCATGGTGCGTCCATTGACGTCTTCCATTGTGGTTCTGTCCAAGAAATATGTTCCATCGTCGCACGGAAAGAAGATCGGCTCCAGCCAATACTCAGCCTCCTGGAAGTCCAACGCTCGGAGAGCTTCCAAGCGGGGCCGCATGTTTTTTCTCAACCTCGCGGTGGCTTCTGAGCTCATGGGCTTGCTGTAAGTATTGAGGACCATTTCGCCAGACTTCGCTAGAAACCTGTCTAAGAGGCTTTCCGCAGCTCGTTTCGCAGAAGCATCGTCTTGCTTGAGGATCTCGCGAGTCAAAAACTCCCACTGCTTCCTCTGTTGCCAGATGGCTTTGATGTCTAAGAGAGCCGTTAGTCGCGGGCGACCGTCACTACAGCGACCTGCGAGTACCTACCTCTCATAGATAGGTGCAGATCAGTGGCTTTGGCGACATTGTCACTAGATGCATACCCGAATATGTGGCCCTCGTCCAAGAGTTCTACCAGGACCGCAGACAGTCCGACGACGAGAGCGTTTGCTTGAAGACCCGACGGCTTGTCCTTGAGATGGGGAATCACCGTGAGGAGCCAGCCGGCATACTCAGGCTCAGGGTCCAGTTCTATAAGTCCGAAGTACAGCGCGTCAGCCAACAATGGTCAACGATCAACGCAAAGGTCGGTTGTCTTTCTGAGCCAGACGTACCGAGCTACTCTCTACGGACCACGTCCAAAGCTCAGTCCCTGATGGAACAAAACAAGGCGTCCATGTCTGCCTGTATGGATGTATCAGAAGTCTGGTTGTTGACCTTGCTGGGCTTCGAGATGGCTCTCTTGTATCGCAGGATCTCTTCTCGGGCCTGCCCAATCTCGGCGTCTTTCTGTCTGACCTCGGTCCGGAGCTGTTGTACCTCGACGTCCCTCTGCCTGATGCCGTTTTTGAGGAGCGTCTTGCTCTGGCGACTGCTCATACAAGTCTGCTGCAATTCGTATCTTGCTTTCTTCTCTATCTCGAGCGCTCCCTCGAGGCGATCCGTGTACGCTGCCATGTCTGCGCAAGCCGTGCAAGCCGTCTCGAGCCGGTCGTCCTGCAGCTGCAGCTGTTCGTCCTGGACGCCGCTTTGACTGTATGCATGTCAGCTCAGAATCGATAATTTGTCTCCCTGCATGGACCATACCACGACCGCTCTTCCTGAGCGTCGGAGTCGCTGGATTGGGCTGCCTGGCTGAATCTGTCGAAGAGATTAAAGTAGCGGGGCGGCATGCTCGCGATCGAGTCTATTTTGATGAGTCGGTAGAAAAGAGACGCCACGAGGAAGACAAGCCACTGGCGTGACGCGTGGGATACTTGTAAGATTGTAAGAGTGGGATGTTTCGTCTGAAGGCTTGTGACGGCTGCAAAGTCTGTGAGTTCGGTGGACAGCTCAGTGAAGTATACAGAATCCGGTCGTGAAGAGAAGCACTCGACGCAAAGCTAGCAACTCGTCCGGTGTTGCGGGAGAAACCAGCTCTTTGAAATGATCAGCATGCCGACAAGTGGTTCTATTCACAAAGAACCACGTCGTCCCTCAACTGGAAGCAGGATTCCAAGTCGTCTTCACCAGCTGCCGCGCTCACTTCACTCTCCTGTGCTCTCAACATAACATCCACCTTCCGTGTTCAGCCACTCGACCTCCACCTTCTCACCTCTCCTCCAACATCTCTCGTCGTCACCCCTTCCATCAATCAATATCACTGGTCTTGCTGCTCTAAGTCTCAGCTCTCTATTGCTTACTACCACTTGCCAACTTGACAGCTTCGCATACGAACAATCTTGTCAAATGCCCTTGCCATCATGCCACCGTGCGGAGCGCGCAGAGATCGCTTGGTCGTGGGTCTTGACTTCGGAACGACCTTCTCGGGCTGTGCCTTTGCCTATGGCGGCAGTCTCGAGTCTCCCGACGAGATTGAGGTGATCAGAAAGTAAGTGCTCCTAGCGAGATGTCTCTTCTCCATGTTGACGGACTGTGTTTCAGTTGGCCAGGGTCCAACAACATCACCTCTGAGAAGGTCCCGACCGAGCTGACATACGAGCCGGCTTCGACCGGTGCTGGAGTCAAGCGTACCGCGGCTGGCGACCCCGCCCTCTTGAACAGCCCGCGGTGGGGCTTTCAAATCAAGCCAAACGAGCTCAGACTACACTACATAAAACTTCTCCTCGACCACCACCAGAGACTTCCTCCCTATGTGTCGAGACAGCATCTCGCCGGCCTACTTCTCCGCTGGGACAAGTCCGCCGAACAGGCTGCGTCTGACTACTTGACTGCACTGTTCAGTCATGCGAAAACCCGTCTCGAGAGACGCTTTCCAATGATGGTGGCCACCACACAAATCGACATCGTGATCACCGTCCCGGCCGTCTGGTCTGACGCTGCTAAGGATGTGACCATGAGGGCAGCCGAGAAAGCCGGAATGGGCGAGAACCTCTTTATGGTAAGCGAGCCGGAGGCTGCTGCCATCTACGCGATGAAGTCTATTGACGTTCAGCAGAAGCTCTGCGAAACAGGCGACAACTTCATCCTCTGTGACGCAGGGGGCGGCACCGTTGATCTGGCCTCGTAAGCCTTTCCCCATGAGACTGCCCCTGCTTTTAAACCTTCTAACAGTGTTTGTATTAGATTCGAAGTCGCTTCGGTCTCTCCGCTGCGCCTGGTGGAGTCCGCTCCGGGATTTGGTGCTCTCTGCGGCAGTGTGTTTCTCAACCTCAAGTTCCAGGATCTGGTCAGACGCCGTATGGGAGCAGACGACTTCCAATCGTTCTGCGACAAGAACCCAGGGGCTTGGGCTGTTGCGCACAAGTATTTCGAAGACTACGTCAAACGCAATTTCGACCCTGTGGACTCCGAGACCGAATTCGACGACGGCCAGTTCAACGTCCCATTCCCAGGCGTGAAAGACAACCTTGCGGCTGGCATCATGGGATCGTTCATCACTCTGTCCAACGCCGACGTCTCTGAGGTCTTCCGGCCGATTGTCGACAAGGTGATTGAACTGGTCGAGAGGCAACGTAGAGTACTGGCTGCTCACGGCAAGACTGCGAAAGGATTAATCCTGGTCGGGGGCTTCGGAGCCTCCTGTTATCTCTATCGATGCCTGAAGTCACGCTTTGCAGATGAGGACCCTCCCCCCTCGTACACTTCGTCGATAGAAGAGTCGGCAACGACCGAGGAAGAAGTGCGCAGATTCATCATCATGCAGCCTGAAAATTCCTGGACCGCGGTGGTCAGAGGCGCCGTCTTGACAGGGCTCGAAAGAGACCTTGTGGTCAGCAGGAAAGCGAGACGTCACTATGGAGTGGTCTGCAACGCACCATGGGATCCTTCGCTGCATTCCCCCAAAAACAAGTTCGTTGACCGTATCACGAAAGAGCTCAGAGCAAAAAACCAGATGTTGTGGTACGTCGAGCGGGGACAAGACATGCCAAGTGACGAACCTATCTTGCTCAGTCTCACGGAAGACCTTTGGCCAGGCGAGGGATCTGGATCTGAAAGCAGCGCGCGAATCATTGTCAGTGATGCGGAGGTGCCTCCCCAGGAATATGAGCCCACCAATGAGACGCGCGTTCTCTGCAAATTGAATACGGACCTGGACGAGATCCCCAGAACGTACTTCCGGAGACAAGTGGCACACGGCCAGTCGTACTACAGCTTGCATTGGAAGTCTGGCATGACTCTTGATGGACGTCTGACATTCGACCGGAGAATCGATGACAAGGTCTACGGCAGTATCGAGGCAGTTTACACATGAGAACGGAGACGGCAGACAGGGGCTTGCAACGAAGACGCAAGAGTGGATGTTGATACGCAGACATCTAAGACGGCATATGGGTCGATCAGAGAGAATACTGGGATGGGTATCTTAGTGGCAATCAGCAAACGGGAGATAGAAAAAAGGTACTTTTTTGAGGAATATTTGGCAAAGCAGTTTGCGCAATGCTGGACTTCATGCAGGGCGAGGCAAGGTAGCGCAAAGCAAGGCAGGGCAAGGTAAGGTGAGGAGCATAGTCACTCAGCTTCCATGTTTGTCCAGAAGAAAAACACAAAAATCGAGTAAAGGGCTTTGGCATACGTCTTCTTTGTCAAACTCCGATGTGACAGGCGACATGATCAAGAAACAGTGATTGCTAGGGTTTTGCACGCCTTTGTATGCATGGCCTCTGACACGTGCACATTAACAACCGCGTCTGAGACTCGACTATAACTTCCTGACTTTTGCTGATTTTGTTTCGCATGCAGGCATTGGCCTGAGGGAGGATCAAAGCGCCGCTGATATGCCTTGGGATGGAAACGAGCACCGATTCTCCAGACCGTGGTGAGTAAAGATTCATTCAAGACGCAACGTTGAGCACTGGAACACCCATGCTCACAAGAAGTCCACTCATCAAAAAAAAGACAAGAATCTTGTCAGAGGCCAGGTGGTTATTGTATGGCAGCGGAAAGGTACGTGTAATGGAAGGGAACCAGTGCAAGCGCTCAAAACTTTACTCGATAGCGTCTGGGACGCCCAAGGGGGAGGGACGGGTGGGATGAGCGACCTGGCTCGTTTCTTGCAAGGGTACTCTCAAGCGAGCCCTTGTACTGTACGAATCCCAAAACACTGGGCATGCTGTCATGCTCTGTACACTATTCCGGAACGTCACGAACACCGAGGATTCATGACTGCGGCGCACAGAAGCCGCTTACCGCCCTCTCGAGACGGCTCACATCTCCATTCGACTCCATACATGTAAGGAAGACCTGTCCCTAACTAATTTATCCGCACCAATCCCACCGCGTTGCCGGCCTTCTGAACCATATCACACAGGCGCGTAGATTGCGAGACCCTTGGCATGTCGATTGCGTTTATGGCAGCAAAGAGATCGTAAAGCTCGTCTCCGCACATGATTGGGGCGAACTCGGTGGCCTCCTCGTACTCGACATTTACAGTCGCGACTCCGTCGCAAATGTTGCTCATGATGTCTTCCAGGAGGCGCAGATCGGTATTCTCTTCAAGAAAGCATCGTTGTGCTTTGAAGAAATCCGTGTAGAGTTCCCATTGCTCGACTCTGCGCACGACCATCGCCGGTAGTGGCCCGCTCTCGCGCCAGGGGGATGCGAGAAAAGCTTGATAGAGGCGTTTCAACACGGATGATTTGAGTTCATCCAGATAAAAAAGCGGTGCCTGTTGAAATCTGATGGTCATCGCTTGTGCTCCTTTGAGAAACCGTTGGCACTGCGTTCTGCGTAGAAGACGAACGAGACCGTCTTCTGAAAAGGCCACTTCGTGCACGATAAAGTGCTTGCGCCTGATGAGACTGCGTATACTTTCCTCTATACGTGAACATGTAGCACGGAGGGCAAGCAGGTCGTTGAGCGGTAAGTAGATGGCGATGGCTTCCAAGAGCTCGTTAGGACAAATCATCAACGCCGACATAGCTTGCGAGGAAGACTTGTTGTGTCAAATCTACTACGTGGAGGTCAAAGAGACTTCATACCAGAGCTGTCATATAGTCCCATCCATGTACTATTAATACTCTGGACGGCTAGACTTGGATCGGGACATCAATAGAAACAGGTCACATGCTCGTTCTGTGTAATGAAATATGTGCCTACAGTTTGCCGGATTCGAGGCTTACTTGGTAAGTTATCGAGCTCGATAGAGGCACACAAGATAGCTCTTTCCCTGCATGTCGCCCTGAATGGCTCTACGCGATTTATGAC